CCTTATTTTGGCATATATTTCAGTTTCTTTATCTGATAAAATTTTTTCAGAATTTTCAGGTTTTATTCCGATATGCGTGGATTCCGAATCGATACCTGATTTTGGTTCTTGAGAATTTTCATCAATGTTTTTATTAGGATCTAAGATTTGATTTAACAATAAAATTTTTTGTTTTTGATTCGTTGAAGTGAATGCGTTTGAATCTTCTTCGTGTTTTTCGTTTAGGTTAGAGTCTCGAAAAGTTGTCGACAACTTATCGTTCGTTTCTGGTTCCACGTTAATCTCTTTTATATCATCATCATTTTTTTGCATTTCTTTGTGCTCTTGCATTCTTCTATCATAATCCAAACTTGCTTGCCTTAAAATATCACTTTGAGCAATGAGATAATTTTCTTCGAAGTCGAGCGGAGGCAATGAATCTTCTCTTGATTTGTCGATGGTTTGAACTTTTAAAAATAAATCCTGATCGTTTTTGCTTTCAAAACTTACCTTTTTTTCTTTTGCCGGAGATAATTTTTTAAATATATCCGACGACGTATTAATCGATTCTTTATCCGTCTGACATTTTGAAAAATCTTTTTGCTTATTTTTAATCGATGTTTTTTGACGTCTGTCGGGGGAAAGTCGTTTCTGTTCATTTTCCGAACTGCTACTCGTTCCTCCAAATATCGTATCCCCAGATAATGTTGATGTTTTATTTTGTAATTTTTTTTCAGAGGTGGATTTTTTCGCATCTACTTTTCCCATCGCGGAACATCTTTTAAAAACGGATTCCGTTTCTTCTTCGGAAGCCCCCGTTTTTTCATCTTTTAAATTGGACACTTCTAATAAAAAATTGTTTTCCTTATTTGGTTTACACTTATCTAAATTATGCTTTTTTAACTTTTTACTTCCCGATTGTTTTTTTTTCGATAACTCTTCTTCTAGGCCCGCAGGAGAATCGTTTTTACTACTACTTTCGTTTTCAGTTTTTTTAACTTTGTTCGTATTGCTCCCGAAAGAACTGTCTTTTTCTTTTAATTTGTTGCCGTGGCCAACTGAAGTTAAACACTAATTGCTCGATAACTTTCTTTCTTGATCACCGGAGGAAACCATTTCGCTAGATCCGCTCGAACTCAAGGTTGTATTAGATCCATAAGGATCGAGGGATGATTGAACGCTCATTGAACGACCGTGTCCAGATTTTCTCACTCGGTTGGGAGAGAGCTTCCCGGGGTCGACACTTGTTGGGTCTGCCTGCAAAAATTTTATTGATTAATTTATAGCCGTGTTATATTGAGAAGGGGGAAGAAAAGTACTTAAAACTTTGAATGCGTCACCTGGTAAGCGAGTGCGTTCATTATTATGTTGTATGGTACCAAACCCAAAGGATGAATTTCTCGCATCAAAACATTGGCAGGAATTTTATGAAATTGAATATATTCCAAAAAGTTTCCTATGACGTCTTTAAGGGAAGTGTTTGGATTTGAATCGCAATACTTTTTACCCCACATCAAAGCAGCCTAGTATAACATGTAAATATAAATTGTTTAGTATAATATAATATATTTAGATTCATGAGATTTAGGATTTAGGATTGTTCTAATGAAAATAATTTTTGAAAAAAAAAATTTTAAACTTTTGCATTTTTCGATGAATTTGTCAGTGTGATAAAAATCACTTTTAAGCTGAATCGTGTAATTAAAATTACAAATATATATATAATGTTTTTTTACATACTTGAAATTTGGTAAACTCATCAGCCCTTAATTCATCTCTCGCTAATATTAATCTTACGACATGTTGAGGAAGTAAAGTGAAAGATCCTAAATTTAAAACTTCATTACCGTGTTCATCAACAAATTCCAGAACCTAAGGAAAAGATAAATTCAATCAAAACTCAAAGAAAGAAAGAAAGAAAGAAAGAAAGAAATTATAGGAATTAAAACAAACTTTTTGAACCAAAGATTTTGTACATTTATACTGTATATACCTTTCGGCGGATGCCAAAAGAGCACATACAGTATCAACATTGATACAACATTGTACGAAACCAGCACAAGCTCGTCTTAATTCATCCAAACCATAATAATCAGCCGCATTCATGACTCCTATAAGGGAAAACAATAACAAATCCGTATTTATTTATTTTTTTTTTGTAAAAATAAGGAATCAATTTGAAATTTGTTGAAAAAATTACGAACCTAACAAAGTTCTAGGTTGAAGAGTTACACATCCCGTGTGAATATATTCAATAAGTTGCCTAAAAACATCCGGTTCGAATTCTTCAATAATCAATGTGTGATGTTGATTAGATTGAGGCTGTAAAACATGATCAAATTCAACAAAATCATTTAAGTTTTTAATTACAAAAAAAATTGGATAGTTTAAAAAACAGTTGAAAATCCAAAAGACAACCAAAAAAATAAAAAAAATAAAAAACAAATTGATATATAAATAATACCTGAAAAAATTATTGTTAAAAATTTTATCATCTTAATACTAATACTAATAGTAATAATAATAAATAGTTAAAGTGAAAAAAAGTCGGTTAAAACGTGAATTCGAAAACCGCGAAAACGGTGACATTTTCGAATGGATTCGATAAAAATTCGTTGGAAAATCATTGGAAAAGAGAAGAAAAACAAATTAATGGATAAGAAGCAGATGATTTAAAGGTAAGTTTCTTTTTTTTTTTTTTTTTTTTTTTTTTTTAATTGCATTAGTAGTTATTTGTGGTTTATGGTAAAAATTATTTAATTTTTAATGTTAATAATAATTGTTTACTATAAAACCAACGAAACCAAAAAAATTTCAATCTCACAGATCTTTATTTAAAAATATCGTTTATTTATTAAATCCACACCAACGTATAATAATAATAATGATAATGATGGATGGACGCGAATCGTACTATTTAAAAAATTGAATTTTTATTAAAAAATTTATTTCAAAAAGTTTTTCTGCGGCAGGTCAACCCGTTTTATTATTTTTTTATTACACTCGCAAATATTTTAAATATTATTTAGTATAATTTTATGAATGAAATTTTCATTAAATTATTATAATTGTAAATTTCATTGAGAAAAAAAAAACAATAAAAATCATTCATTAAAAAAAAAAAAAAAAAACATGGCATCAACAAAAAAAAAAAATAGATTTAAAATGCAGACACATTTAAAATTTGTTTTGTTTTTTTTTTTTTATTAATAAATCAAATTAATAAATTTTTTAATAATTAAATCCGTCAATAAAAAAGAAAAAACATAAAATACTTGCAATTTTGCAGTGAGTTGTGTTTAGTGCATAAAAAAAATTTTTTTTTTTTTAAATTATTAATTTTATTTACAATAATATAGAAACGACAAAAAAAAAAAAGAAATATGTCAACTACAATTTCGCATTAGATTTTTAGAGTCAACAAAATTTAACAATACATTATTATTTTTATTTATTTTATTTAATTACATGCTAATAATAATATAAATAAATAAATAAAAAATGTCAAAACTTACGGTTTGACCTACCTCAAGTATTGGAGCCAATTGTTGTGAATATCCAGAACGCTACACATTTATTATATCCAATATTTTATTATCATTCGATTCGAACTCATATTAATAATATATATTTATTTAATTATCATTATTACCTTATTTATTTAATTTTTTTTTACAAACAATAACTTATCGTATTAAAAGTAAATAATTAAAACACTCTATTATAAAATGTTTGATTTTATCGGATTAATTATACCTTTGAAAATTAATTAGGTATTTAAATAATAATAATAATTCAAAGGCAGGTGAGATGATTATTATTATTATTATGTAGTAACTAAAATTTCAAAAGTCTGATTGGGATTTTTGTTTTTAAAAAAAACTAATTAACGTTGTATTGAAATAAATTAAAAAGAGATTTAAATGTTTAAATGAAACATGACAAAATTTTTTTTACTCTAATTAATAATTTTAATTAAGGTTTTCCTCCCCCCCAATTAATAAAATTTTTGTTTTTAATTCAAATATATAAATAACTCTTTTAAAAATTTACTAAATAATCGCGATGTTGATGACGCTAATTGTTTTATATTTGAATAATAAATAAATAAATATTTTATAAAAATTATAAAAGGATGCCGTGTAGTGTGAGTACAAATTCTCCTGTGTGAGTCTTTGTGAAATTTTAATTTTGTGTAAAAATTTACAAAAAGGTGTGTCTAAGCCAAATAAAATAATAATAATTATTATTATTATCATAAATAATAATACTTACCTGTTGTGCTGCGTTTTGTAAATTCAACAATGGTTCCGAACTCCTTTTTAAAAAAAGTCTCAATTTATTTTCTTTTTGTACCGGTTCTTTTTTTCTCTGTGGACTCGGAGCTTGATAAAGCATTTTGTGAAAAACCCTAGAAGAGGGGAGGGGAAAGGGGGGAAAACGTTATCATTACTATTACTTTCCCTATAAATATATGTGTCAAATAATTGTAATAATAATAATACCTGCTTCGTGCTGCTAAAACAGCTTTTACGGCACAAACCGGTTCTCGAGTGTCTCCAACTAAAAATGTGACGTCACATAATTCTGGCATTGATGCCAAAAATTTCATGTCTTCGGCTAAGCCACTTTTATTTTCAAATGTATTTAAATCTGGCTCTTCCGAGGCAGCTCCTTCAGACATAGCCCCTGGCATGATATACCTAAATTAACCAATAAATATAAATAATACATAATTTGTAAAAAACAAAAAAACTATCTTTTTTATTTATGACTATTGAAAATTTATAATTTAATCACACTGTTTAACCAATCAATTTTATTATTATTATTATTATTATTATTTAATAAACAATGAAAAAAACAACAAGCCATTATATGATTGAGTCTAATAATTATTGCAAATTTTTTTTTTTTTATTAGTGAAATGTTTAAAGATTATTACACTAAATAATAACGGTAATTAATTAATTTATTATTAAAAAGAGTAAATAAATAAATTATTTAGTTTAAAATAAATAAAAATTTAAATAAAAACGAAAACATTAGAAACCTGTTGCTCTTTTTCCGTATTTAAACTCTCGCTAGTTTTTTTTTTATATATATAATTCTTCTATTGATTTTACTTAAAATGACAATTTTTTTTTTAATATTATTAAAATAAATTTAAATAATTTATTAATTATTCTTTAAATAAAATAATTTTTTTTGAATTAATAATAAAAACTTCACAACGTGTAGGTAAAAAAAAATTTTTTTCACTGAATTCTTGTATTAGTTTACGCATTCAACCAACATCCAGGAAAATTTTTTTCTTTTTTATTTATTCATTTCAACAAGAAAACCTTTTACCGTATATAATTATATCACTTTGCGTTTTCCTTTTTATAATAAAACCTTTTCGTTTTATAAAAATAATGATAAATGACTGTTTCTTATTTATAATATGAATGGGAACATGGGGTCATTTTATATTGGCGTGCCTTGTCGGGCATGACATCTAGAGTTTTCAAGAAATAATAAAAAAATCGATATTTTCCCTTCCCTTCTTTCATTTTGCTTTTTTTACCTATCGTGAAAATTATTATTTTTCTATTAAACAAAAAAAAGGCAATGTAAATGATTTCATTATTATTATTATTACTTATAATTTTATTAAAAGTAAAAATTCGATTTAAAGTTTTCCGCGAATAAAAATCATTTAAATAAAAAATTAAATTAAATTTATGAAAAAAAAAATTTTCCTGTTGATTCCGAGTCGCGCCATTTTAAATATTTTTTTTTTTACTCCAGGAATTAAAAATTATTATTATTATTATTATTATTATCGGGAAATTTTTTTCTTTTATCGGGATGATTTAAAGAAAAAACAGGATTGATAAATTATAAATAATAATAATAGTTGTTAGTCTTTTTGACATGAATTTATTTATCGAAAATATTTATTAACAAATTAGTTTTGTTTTAATAGTTTAAATAAGAAATTTAATAAACTTAACAATTTTAATAATTATTATTATCATTATCATCAATAAATTTTTAATCCCCCTATATATATAATAAATTCTTATTGAAATAAATAAAAAATTATTTTTATAAAAATATATAAATATATAATTAAACGACAAAAGAAAAACATTTTCGTTATTTCTACATTTATTAATATTATTATTATTATTATATATAAAGAATACAAATAACAAAAATAATTTTATTATTTATTTATTTATTTTAAATGAAAAATTAAATAAAAATGACGTTATTGTAAAAAAAAAAAAAAAATTATTTAAAAATAATTTTTCTTTTTTTTTTCGTAATGATTCATATAATAATAATAATAATATAATTGTTACACGTTATTAAATAAAGAGAAATAATAAAATAATAATAATAATAATAATACAATTATTAAATAAATATTTAAATTCATAAAATTATGAAAAAAGAAAAATTATTAACATTTCTCTCTCTATATATATATATAATAATAATTATTATTATTTGTGAAAAAGAAAAAAAAAATCATCGTATTAAAATAATAAATATATGAATATATATAGGTTTATAAAATAAGGAATTAATATCATTATTATCATTCTTATTATTATTATTATTGATTTTTCTATATTAACGTTTTTGAAATTAAATAATTAAAAAAAAAATTAAAATTTTTTATTATAATTTTTTATTCGTCACCGGAAATTTTTTATTAAATTAAAAGAAAACGGAATATCGAACCTATAGAGAAAATTATTATTATTATTCGGAATAATAATAATAATAATAATAATAAGGGTATAAATAAATAAATAAATAAGTAAATGTTTTATGTGGGGGTAAAATAAAATTTTTTTTTTGTAAATAAAATTTTCTTTCAATGGGATAAAAAAATAAGGTTTTTAATGTTTGTACCGAAAGCCTAATAATAATAATAATAATAATAATAATAATAATAATAATAATAATGACAAAAATTTGTATTATGTACGAATGTAAGGATAACATATTTAAAATCATAAAAAAAAAAAATTAGAGTTTAAAATAATAAATAAATAAAGTAAAAAAAATTAATAATAAACGATGAAGTATGTTGTTTGTAAGTGATTGATCGGGGGAGGGGGGTAGGCGGTGGGGAGGTAGGAGAAAGGGAAAGGGGAGGGAAAGGGAGGGGGAAATGTCAATAATCATTTTTATTACTTTTTTTGAAATTAAACGACATTCCGTTTCCATAAATTTAAAAAAAAATAATAATAATAAAAATGAAAAACACAAATAATATTAATAATAACCCCCGAGGGGGGGGGGGTATAACCTTTTGTTGTTGCCAAACAAAAAAAAAAAATTTTTTTTGAATAAAACATTTAAACAATAACAAATTAATTAAATTAAATAGATTTTACAAGATGGCGTTTAAAAAAAAAAAAGTGAAAACAAGAATATTTAAACAATAATAAAAAAAAAAATATTAACAAATAATAATTATTATAACAAATTAATTATATGGGAATGAGAAGAATAATTAATAATAATAATAATTACCGTATATGTCTATATCAATGAAAAAAAAAACAAACAAATAATAATAATAATAATACATAATACTAATAAATAATAGTATTATTATAATTAAATAGAAAATTTTAAAACTTTTTTTTCTAACAATATATATATATGTGTGAGTACGGTAACTTTAAATTAATAAATAAATTGTTTTTTTTTTGTTAATTAATTAATTAATATTCGTTAATCAAAAAAAAAATAGGAAATTATTAATAATAATAATTATTAAATGTAAATGAAAATTAATTTTTTAAATTACGGTTTTTACGGTTTTTGTGTTTGCTTTGAGAAATCACAGAGAATTATCAAAATGTATATTTGGACCTCCAACATTTCCAAATCCTATAACTGATGAATTTTTAGAATTTCTCATTAAAGGTTTGTGAGATTTCATTGTTCCAAATGTATGTTGCCATTGCCAACAGGTACGGCAAAAATATTTAAAACAAATCATTTCCCGACAAAAATAAGGTCCTTGTTGAAGATTGCAAGAAGAACAAAGTGAATCTTCCAAATAAGGATCTACTTGAATCTTTAAATTAATTTTTACAACAAAATAAAATCGTTACGAATCGTTTCCTTTTTATTTAATAATGATAATGACAATAATAATAATAATAATAATAAACTTACTTTTTTGCAAAATTTAGCCGTTTTAATTTCAATAAAAGCCGCAGCAACAGCTTTCATGTATGATTTTGTGTTGCTGAATGTCACTCTTGCTGATCCTATCGGATATTTAAATTTATCCGTGTCGATTCCTTTTTTTTTTTTTTAATACAAACAATAATAATAATAATGATGATAGTGTTAATTCTGATGGGGAAAATGATTTGAAATGAGATAACTTACCCGCATATAAGACTCCGTCAAATAAATCGTTCATTATTTTAGCCAATCCTTCGGCTGTTATCATACCGTGTAACGCACCAACGAAAACTGTTTTTTGGGGATCCAATTTCTGACAGGGGGATTTCGAATAATTACTGTTGGATATGACCCAAGGTATGACTTGAACTTCTTTAGATTTCATTTTACGAGATGATATTTTGTAAAACCACGAACCTCCATTTGCATAATCTTTACAACAGGATGATAAAAGAGCTTTGACCTAAAATTTATTTGAAGATTTCATTATTTTTCTTTTTTTTTTTTTTCAAATCACAATTGAATAATATTTTTTATAATTTATTGAGATTTTAACTGGGAAAAAAATATCATTTCAATAATTCCTTTAATAGAATAAAATCAATCAATCAATCACCTGTTTTTCGGATTCAAAAATAATGTAAACATATCCCTTAGGTTGAGTGGCTTGCTGTTCTTTTCCCGGCCATTCCACTCTGATCGGACCAAAAACTCTAAATACTTGTTCCAGAGTATTTTCACTTAAATCCCACGGGACGCCACCCAAGAAAACTTTACACGAATAAACGGCATTTTTTTCATTCGGAACCGGAAGTATGCCGCTCCATGTGTACATGACGTCACAAACTCCTAGAATTTTTACATATGAAATTTAATTTATTTATTGTTATTATTATTATTATTATTATTACTACAGATTACGCAAAAATGAAATTTTATGATTTAACTTTTTGGTAATTTTAATACACCTGCAGCGTTTCTGTGAAATTTTGCGGCTCTTTCCAAAGAACTTCCTCCGTCACTTCCTGAATTGGTGCTCGTTCCCAAAATATTGTTATATGATTTTTCTAATGGAGATGAATTTTGTAAATTTTGATGTTTTAAAAATGATAAAAAACCCGAGCGAATGTTTTGTTGTTGCTGTTGTTGTTGTTGGTGTTGGTGGTGTTGTTGTTGTTGATGTTGCTGTTGATGTTGTTGCTGTTGTTGTATGTATTTCATGGCTGATTGTTGCATCTACATTTACGTCGGTTACGTAGAAAATTCAATTAAAATAATAATAATAAATTAGTAATATTAGTAGTGTTTTTACAGTGACTTTAATTAATAATAACAATAACGTAAACATTAATTTGTTTTAAAAAAATATTAATAATTAAGGGGAAAAAAGAAATCAAACCATTAAATCACTTAATGTGGAATCAGTGACGCAACTGCTACTCGTTTGTGATTCTGAAGGTGATAAAGATACATTTCTTGTTGTCCAAAATGAGTTATCAATGGGTGAAAAACAACCACTAGATAAAAAAAATTGTAATTAAGGTAAAGTTCGGGTGTCATTTTTTTTTTTTTAAGATTAAATAATTCAAGGAGGAAATATTTAAACTACCCGTATTTAGTGAGAGAGTCTTGACGTCTTGGAACCATTGGAGAATTTGGCATCGAATGATAACCGGTAGTTTCAAAACTACGATGAAAATTTCTAAGTGATGGTATGTCATCTTCGCTCTATAACGAATAATAATAATTATTATTATTATTGTATTGTTTTGTCTCTCGCTTTTAATAAAAATAAATTTTAATTATAATAACCTTATAGTGCGATGAATAAGGAGTCGAAGTTAAAAACCTTCGTCGTGCAAATTCTATAGGATATTGTAGAAAGCTAGAATTGTTTGAAAGAAATCTTCTGGAATAGTTTGATGCCCATAAATCTGACATGGAAGTCACCGAATCACCTGACGTAAATATTAATAATAAACTCGTTAATTAACAAAAAAAAAGGAGGGGGGGGCAAAAAAGGGGAGAAAAAACTCACAATCTTGTGGAGAATTTTGATCCTTGTCACTGTCAAGCAAAGAATTGAGTCTTTCGTAAATGTCGGTGCTGGGCTGTGGAGATGTTGGAGAATTTCTATTTATTATACCAGAAGAATTTTCAAAATCCGAAGAAAAAATTTCATTCTTAAAGAAAAAAAATATTTATTTATTTTAATTATAACATTTGATAAAATAATATAAAATGATGAGAAAAGAAATTTTTTTTTGTAAATAAAGTTAATAGGTTCATTGATTACATTATGAAAACTAATTTCTATTATAATCTTTAAGTTTTTTAAATATAAAATAAGATGAAATCAATATAAAAAAAATAAACAAACAAATACTCACTTGATTCATGGTTGATCGTACGACCAATATATAAATTAGAGAAAGAAAAAAAAAAAAAAAAAAAAAAAAAAAGTAACACCAAAGAAATAGAGAAAAGAAGTAACAATAAAATTTAATAATTCAATAACGTTTTCCATTAAACTAAAGTTTTTTTTCTTTTTTTTTTTTGAAATCATTTTTCGAGTTGGCTCATGTTTTTAATTGAAAATATAAAATTTATGTAAATTTTTTAAAAATAAACTTTCGGTTATTTACAAAAGGTAAACATGTGGGAAAAATTTTAAATTATTATAAATAAATTTTTTCATATTTCAACATGCACGTCGACCAATTGATTTTGTATTATTTTATATATATATTAATTACATTAAAATTTTTCCCCCCCCCCTCTGTCGCTGTGGTGGTTGTTGTTGTTGTTGTTGTTCCACCACAAATTACTAACAATAAAGAAAAAAACGTTGTTTCGACTCGCAAAATAAAATAATAATGATAATAATAACATTAAATATAATTTATTTCAATGGATCGTAACATAAAATTTTATTTTTGTTATTATTAATAATTTTTAAATGAATGAAAGCTCCTGTAAAATGTTATAAAATAAAAAATAATAATATATTTTAAGTTGTGGTACAATTAATATAATCATTTTTAATTATTATTATTATTCCTTTTTTGTGTTGGAATGATGAGAAAATATAGTACGATTCGTTGTCCTCTGTAAAAATTTTCTTTTTTTTTTTTTTTTTTACAGAATTTTCCGTTTGAAAATTAAATTTTATTCATAATATTATTGTTATTTAAATTTTAGAAAAAAAAAAAAAAAAAAACGTTGTTGCCAAATGTAATTTTTATTTTTATTATTTTTGTTATCGTTATCATTATTTTTATTTTTATATATTATTGATTTTAATTTATACACATGTATATACATATTTTAAACGTTTAATACTTTTTTTTTTATATTAAAAAATGTTTTGGTTTTATACGATTTTGATTTTTTTATATTTGGGTATTTACGTAAAAGGATGGGATTATTTAGAAAGTGAAAATTATGATGATATCGGCTGGGAAACAAACAGGTAATAATAATAATAATAATAATATATATATTTGTTTCCCTTAAAATTTATTTAATTTAATATAAAATATTTATAAGCAGTAGGATTAAATTAATTTTGTTTTGACTTATTCAATTAAATTTTAACAATATGTACACACACGTGTATGTACACAAACTCTTACACACGTGTATATATATTAACTATGATGATGTAAATCCTATTAAAGGGTCAAGAGGCAATCGGAATCAAATGAAGATTTAGAAAAAATGGGACTTTTAAAATTGAAAAGAAAATTTCCAGAAGAAATGGAAGAGGATTGCGATAGTTTGCATCAAACAGACGATACTCCGTTTGTCGCATTGATTTTATATAAAAATTCGGGACGTTTTTTATGCATGGGATCCATTATTGATAATATACATATTTTAACGGCTAAAATATGCTTCGAAAGAGCGGAATCAACTGAAATACTCGTTGTTGTAGGATATAAAAAACCCTGGTGGGGAGAATGTTCACAAATAAGAGGAGTAAAAACGATATTGAGAAGCGAAAGCGGTTTAGCTATATTAAGAATGAAATCTCCGATTGTATTTTCAAAAGATGTTTTGCCAGCCAAACTCCCAACTTCGGTCACAAAATATAATAATTTTAAAGATACGTATCCGGGTCCTTTTCAAGTGATTGGAATATTCACGGATAGATTTGAAGTACCCGGGGAACCAATAAGTTTTGATACATTTTACGTAATGAAAATGGATACGGCTGCAGCATTTCCGGATTGCGAAGCAAATTACAGCAGACGAAATTTAGATTCTTTAACAACTTTTTGCACGATAGGAAATGCATCTTTTTGCTGGGGGGGTTGGGGTGGACCCGTTTTAGAAATGAAAGAAAATTTTATGATTCAAATCGGTACGGTTATTTTAGATAATTGTTCAGCAACAACAACGGGACCTTTACTTTCGGCAAGATTAGATTCACATGCAGATTGGATCCGTGGTGTAGCATACCACGGAAGACAACCCAAATAATAATAATAATTATTATTAACATAAAAGAAAAAAATTAATCATGCGATTTTATATTTTTATTATAAATAAACGTATTAAAAATCTTTTCTTTTTTTTGTCTGTTATTTTATTGAATTTTTTCATAAAAAAATATATATATGATATTGTTGAAAGCGTAAAATGTGTGAAATTGAAACTTTTAGAAAAATCTTTAGTTTTACATTTTATTATAATATTCTTTCTTTTTATTTTTAAAACTAAAAGAAAAAAAAATAACACAAAAAGACTCTCATTAAAAAAGACAAAAAAAATTTCAAAAAAAAAAAGGCATATCCGACCTATATTAAACCTTTTAAATTTATCTCAAGTAATTTTTTTTTTTTTGAGTTCACTCAATGATTTTTTTTTAAATTGTTTTTTTTTTATTTTACTAACGGTTAAAAAATTTTAAATTATAATAATTTGATGTATAGAGAAGGCTGTGACTTATAAATGTAATAAAAAAAAAATTTTTTCTTTTTTATTTATGTTTTTACATTAGATATACACACGCGTTTGGTATGCGTTTATTTTTTATTTTTTTCCAGTTTATTTTTATTGCTTCGTCAACTGTTAAAGCTATTGATTCTGTTTCACAAACTCAAAATATAGATATTTCTGATAAAAAAGTCTTAAAGTAAGTTTTTAAATTTATATTATTCATTAAAATTCACTGAAAACATTTAATTCATAAATAATATATATATACGTTATTATATTATTATTATTAATTAAATAATTATTATTATTTTCCATTTTTTTTTTGTTAAATAGAAATGGCAAAGAACAAGTACGACAAAAACGTGCCACCGATGCAGATCAATTTTCTGTTAAAATGCCCGTGTGTAAAAATTTAATGCAAACATCTCGACATCCGTTTGTTGTTATTTTATTATATAAAACATCCGGACGATTTTTAGGATTGGGATCTATTGTCGATAAAAAAACAGTGATAACAGCATCAGAAGTCGTTAAATTATCATTAAGTGCTCCGAGTGAATTATTAATATTAGCCGGATATTTAAGCCCATACTGGGGACCAGATTCTCAAGTTAAAAAAGCCGAAGTCATTTACGCTTTGTCAGAAATCGC